GAAGCGATGCTAGAGCAGTAGGCTGCTGGAACAGGGGGTTGCTGGGTTTCCATGGACTGGAAGGCGACGAACGAAGGCTAGAAGGGAGGCTGACAACAGAGGATGGGAGGAAAGGAGGTTTGGCCACCACCTGGAGGGCTTCCAGGATATAGAGAACAAGAAGAACTGTGGCTCTCTTTCTAAACATCAAAATTTGAAATCTCTTCCTAAGGACTCCTCTATTTTTAACCTTTTAAAGGCAAGAGGAGTAAATAAAAAAAAGAATTAAAGAAGCAACTATAATAATAAAAAAGAAAAGAAGAGGAGGATTAGGAGCCATTTTGGTTGAACCACCCCTCCCTAAGCACCTGCGTCGAAGGGTTTTGAAAATTCAAGCGTTTGGATGGATATATTTCAAATGCAAAGTGTTTTCCAAGTGCATTTGGAAATCAACATCTAGTTCATTTTGTGTGTATTTTAAATTCACCCATTTTGAGCAAATTCCAAATACAATGCGCAAGTAAAAGTGATGCTAACCAGCAATTGGCCATCGCCGCCCATCTCAGGCCACCACTGTCGCACTAGCTATCGAGATCACGAATCAACTATTATTTCAAATGCGCTACTATTTTACTTGGCATTCTCTGTATTCAAATAAATAAATAAATCTTGCATTTGCAATATACTAAACCAAACAATTAAAAGTATTGTTAATATGCTACTTTTACTTTACACATCATTCAATTTTCATCAAATCAAACAACCCCTCAATCCTCTGACATTTCTTTTATCTATTCATACAACAGACACTTTATATATCCTTAACTGAACATATCCAGCCATATAAGTCTATTTAAATCATCTTATATTTAATAGATGCTACTCTATCATTTTTTTCTAATATAACAAATATTTAATTTATCATTCCTAATTTTTTCACATAGCCGTCATAATATTCACTTATACTAAACTTAAATATTAATAACATTTCTATAACTCAACATTCGGATCGATATATCATCACATACTTAATTGTGAAATTTATTTTTAAGTCTCATGGTATCCTTTATCACACAATATTTCTGAGGTAGTTCCCCATTTTAATTACTCAATATTGAATATGAAAGTTATATCCTTATTTATAACTATATTTTTTGTATAATAGATTTAGAATACTTTAATATATCAGATCAGATATCACCTTATCTTATACTAATATTAAATGATAATTGTTAACATAATACCCACAAAAATTGCATACATATATCTCCTCTTTGTTCTACTAATTACAAGGCCTCTAACTTCTAAGCATTTACTTCGTTATTCCAATTTTTATTGATTTTGTTGATGTCCCATCAATTATATATATATATAAACCAAAGCACATCACTTTGAATATTCTTTATATACATATCTATAACCAATACAAAAAAAATTAAGTCAATGTCAGTCTTTAATATAAACCTAAAATAACTGAAAACACTTTAAGTCATCCCACAACTACTTCTAATGCCAAACTATATTATATTATACATATTTTTATTTAAGTCAGCATATCTTCAACACACATTCCTTCCTTGAAAAATACCAAATTAATCTCCAATGTACTAAATCATATGCTCTCTCTAAATGAATAAAAATCATGTGAAGATCATTTATTTGTTCTCTATACTTTTGGTTAGTTGTCCTAACACAAAAATCACTTGTATAGTAGATCTTTCTAATATAAAATCAAATCAATTCTCAAAAATAAATGTAATTTATCTAATTCAACATCCTTGATGACTTCTAACTTGGAAAAAAAAAAAGTTAAAACCACATGAACTAAAATTTTTTATGACCTCAGGCACAAAATAGTGTTATGAATGGCCCCCTCGTAAGCGTACCATGCTCACCCTTGTTTACACTTGTGCTTAACATGCGCACTCTATGAATCATCTCATAACAACCATCATTCTCGTGTAGGTCACATTCGTCATTTGCATGTATCGCACCCATTGGTCACAATTGAAATGACCCTATTACTCACAACTTCCATTGTTGTTGAGCTCTCTATATGTCACCAGGTCGATCTTTTTGAAACTATTATTGTATGACTTGTGCTCGCTTTCTTGGCCCCTACGTCGATGTTTCATGGTGTCGGCGTCCAAATCATCCTACGCTCAGACTTACGGAGGGCATTTGATGTTGGTGTTTCTTGCAATAAAGACAGTCATGCTGCTTTCTTCTAATGTATGTTTTATCTTTTGGCAATTTTCACTCTTCCTATCACCTTTGTGTCATGCTTGTTCACATCCTTTGGCTTAGGTTGTTACCACAACCATTACGGCTTCTAATTTGGATTGTCCTCCTTTACCACAAATTTTTCATTAGACCTCACCTTTTTACACATTTGTTTCTCCTAGGATTTTGGATGAACCTCCAACTATGACATCACCTTCCATCCTGGTGACAACTTGCTTCCTAGAAGTTCATCCTCCTGTTTCAATTCCTTTACAAATGTCATCTCCAATTGCCCGCTCTCACTCGTTTACAAATGACATTAAAGGGAAAAAAGATCCATGATTTCATTCCTTCTCACCAAACAACAAGTTCCCTTTATTTTTTCATTAAGATTCAGTGTCAATTCCTTATAAGCATCCATCCACATACTTGGGCAAACCTCCTCTCATCGTCACTGAATAGAAATCAGATGTTGCTACACCTCTCTATTTCTCTATTGTTGGAAAATTTTTGATGGACCACCATAACCATGAGATTATTCATAAATTTATGGCTGATTTACATTTAGTTGGTGACCATTCCATTGGGCTCATTGACCACCATCATGTTAGTATTAGACTCTCTTTACAAGCAAACTACACTGGACATTTCTCTCGGGGATCCCACCACATTAATGGTTTCTTGATGCATATGCCAAAATGGTCACCCTATTTTTTACTCTTCTGAGAAATCATATATCACTCCAATTTGGATTGTATTTCTCTAATTCTATTTACATTATTTCAATCAATCCAATTTATATTATCTGGATTTTATATTTGGCAAATCTTTGAAAGTGAATAATGCTACTACCAATCTTTCAAGTCCTATGGCCAAGAGTCTAGTTGAACTAAAAATTACCTCTCAATTAATGAAAGGGTATTGAACCGACTCTTTGATCTATGGGTATTGGTTGAGGGATGATGAATTTAAACGCATCATAGCATATTATTTATCCTGCAAAACTTTTAGATATAATTTCTCTGAATGTTTCAAGGCTCTCTCAAATCTAATGCAAAGGCAAAATCAAATGATCAGATCCAACCCTATAGCATAATGGAGGTTTCTTTATTAGATTAGGTTTGTAATCGAATCTTGGACCCTATTTTAGGTTCATCTTTGGATTTAAAGAATCTTAAGTTTTCACTTGATAACTCTACTATGGTGGTCACATCAACACCCACAAATATCAACATTAATCCCACTCCATTTATTATTGCAACAAATCACCTTTTTGTAATATGTTAACAAAATGATGACCAAGAAGTTCACCAACTTCAAGACTCAGTATGTGAGCACCCAAAGTGTTAACTCTATGATGGAAAGAAGGTTTCCTATTCTATTTACCAAAAAAAGCAAGAATAAGAAAAAAAAATCAACATTATTCATCTTTTTCTTCGAATTTCAAGCAAGTTGATTTAAATGAGCTTTATTTTGTAGTCTTCATGTTATCAATGACTTCGCATCATAGTATATCAAATTATCTCTATCTTGTCACTTGTACTTCTTTTTTCCTCAAGTAATTCTTGGCCATTTCTCTTGATGTACTAATCATTTTCTAGTTATTAAATTTTACTTAAGCGAAAAATAAAGAAAATAATATTAAGTTAAGTGTTGCAGAGATGAGGATGCTGTTACGCCGGCCCAGGAGGGGCCGGCTGGACCGGTCCAACCGGGACCGGTCCGGGTCTACTCGCGGCGGAACCGCACGAAACAGGCGGAACCGAGCGCAAGCGGCGAAGCCGACGGGGGCCAGGGAGGATTTTTGGGAGGGAAATTTTGAATGCGAGGGTCTGTTTAGACATTTTGTAAAACTCCTTTAGGGTTAATTAGGAGGTTAGAAGGAGGAGGGGGGATTATGTTGCATTTGGATGAGTTTTGAGATCTAGGGTGTGGTGTTCTTGGACTCTTGGCTTTGCCGGAGATAGTGGGAGAGTTTTTCCTTCCTCTCGAATTGAAGGAAAGTTGTATCTTGCAAGTGCTTTTCCTTTCTTATTGGAATACAAGTGTTTGCCTTGATTTTCTACAAGTTTCTTCTCGGATTTCCACTGTTTTTGCTGTTTTTTCCGCTGTAAACAGCAGTTTTGCTCTTCTTTTCGTACTAATCTTGGTTAGGTTTGCTTGCGAACTCAAGTATTACCTTAGGGTTACTTGCGAACTCAAGTATTTCCTATCAGATGCTCAGGTGGATGAGAGGCGTAAGTCTTAGAGATAGGATATGAAACGAGCATATACGTGAAAAGGTTGGAGTAGCTCCAGTTGAAGATACGATTAGAGAGAGTCGACTTAGATGGTTGGTCACATAAAATGGAAGCCTTCTGATGACCCGATTAGGAGAGTAGGTGTATTATATTTGGCTTATATTAAGAAAAATAGAGGTATACCTAAAAAAACTTTGTTAGAAAATCTTAGAAATTACCTTTCTTTATTAGATTTAAATGAGAAATTGATCCTTAACAGGATACAATGGAGAAAAATGATTCTTGTAGCCGACCCCACGTAGTGGGATAAAGGCTTGATGTTGTTGTTGTTGTTGTACAGGCTATAGTACTGTGATAAATTTTTGATAGTTTCTTGTTTCTCTCCATACATCCTTCTTTATGGCATGTTATGCTTTTTCTTCTTCATAGTACGGTGCTTCCTTTAAAAACAATAATTTTTTTTGCTTCATGTATCATGAAGTTTTTTTTCTTCAGGCTTTCTTGCTTTTAAATGTACAAGGCATATTAGCTAATCTCCATACTGATTTGAACTATTAGGTCCTTATCTACTCACCAGCTCGCACAGCAACTCAGCAAGGCTCTGGGAAAGTAGGAAAATGGAAGATCAATTTTATGTCGACCCAAAAGTATGGTCATCACTGCAGATATACTATTTTCACAACACAACTATAGTATATGAAATAATGTCAAATTCTTTAACCTTATTTTAATGCTCATTGCCTGATCTCCATGTATATACATGATATATGGTGTGACAGATCTGCCTGCACATATTTCTTTTCCCTTGACATTATTTTACTAGAACACTGCCTTCATGGTTACCTCTGCCATGTGCTGCTCTGGTTCAGCTTACCTATTAATTAATGAGGACGAGTATGCTACTTTTGAAGAAGTTGTAACTGATTGAGAGAACTTTTAAGAGTTTTTTTCAAACATCAACTATATGCAAATTTCAAAATTTTTTTTTCTGGAATATCCGTAGCTTGCTGCTTACATCTAAGATTGTCCTAGTAATATATTGTTTAATGTCTTTGATGGAAGCAAAGATTGTGCAAGTTTGCTTTTTTCAGATTACCTAGTCATTTCATTTGTAGGTCTAGAAATGATCTGTATGAATGAAAAATATATAAATGGAGGTAATCTGATGGCGAGTTTAAGATCCGCACAAGAAGAAGCATAAGGAATCCAGAGCACATGAACTTTCAATTGTTTGAGGAGCGCCATAGCAGTAGGAATACAGAAAGTTCAGCAGGGACAGCAAAATTAGCACGAGCAATGTAAAATTCTGTTGTTGTTGTTGTTGTTATTGTTGTTGTTGTTGTTGTTGTGTGTGTGTTTTCATTCTATTTCTTCTTATGTTTAGAAGTGATATATTTGGGATTTCTAGCTTATGTTATCGTAGACTGCTTAAGACCATCTTTGGGCAAGTCCTAGGTAGCTTGTAGATGGTTTTTACTTATTATGGAGACGATGGTGGATGCTTTTGTAGAGACATAAGGTTTCTTGTATCATGGATGTTAGTTCATATGGATCCGTGAGCGGTCTACTTTTTCAACTTTTTAGTTTAAAAACAAGTGATTTTCTCTTGCTTCCTCGTGATTTCTTTTTCCCTGTTGAACATTGATTTAGTTATAACCGTGGAGGTTTCAAATCTAATACAAGAGGATTATCTTTTTCATGCATTTGACCTTTACTCTGGAAACTATATATTATCTGAGCTTTTAGGTTTAATGAACAAAGTTTCAATTGTTTGAAATTTATCATATTTTAACCTCGTTGTAGATCTTTTGGCATATTGGATCCAGCTGTGGAATTGATTTGTAAATTTCCTTTGATTAGTTCAATGCTATCTTCGTGCTTGTGTTTACATAATATCATGGCCACCATTGCATGACAGATTCATAGTTTGTTCTCTTGATTTTAGTCTAGTTTTCTGAAAATTTCCTTGTTTTCCTCTGTTTTGCCACTGTTTTCCCATTGTTTTCCTTCATTTCAGCAGCATAACATTTCTTTATTGTGGATTTAATTTCATGTATACTTGGCATATTTGGAAAGCTTTAGGATTTGCATTCTAGCTTCACTTGCGGCTTGCTCACATAATTTTTTCTCATAGAGCTGTTATGTGTAATTATCAATGTAGCAAATGACCTTATTTATATCTGTAATCAATGTTTTGTTAAGGCAAAGGCATATGGCAGGGCACATACCCATCATCAGGTGGTGCGTAACCTCGATCATGAGGTGCAAGCCCCATGAATTTAATATTTTAAATATTTATAAAATATGATTATAAAATTAAATCGAAAAAGCTAAAATAAATTCTAGTCCATAAGCAAATGATTCATCTTCAAATTTCAATGTCTAGTTTACATAAACATATTAGTTAAAATAAATTAGGCTTCAAATTGTAACAAGGCGACTAATTTACAGTTCTCAATTCCTTATTTGTCAAGCTTTGTATTCTCTAAATTTTCTTTTCAAATTGAGACATTCAAATCAGTTGTTGGTGTAGATTGAGTCATTGCAAATTCAATTTCACAAATAAACTCCATCTCATTTAAGCCATTATTCTCTGTCTTCTAATAAATCTACAACTTATTTTCCTTTTGATTTTGTTGCCTACATGAGGGAGACAAAATTACACAAGATTACTTGGCGTCTTTCGGCCTTGATAATACGAGAGAACTGAATCGTATGGGCTTAAGGTTTGCACAAGATGACTTGTCGTTTGAGTTTTTACTTAAATAAATAGGAAGGTTATTAATAATATGCTAAAAAATTAGCAATTCAATAATTTTAATAATTTAGGTTAATTTCTATGACTGAACACATGCAAAAGGAGCACTACCATGCCAATGTCACCCTCCAGTCTATAGGGAATATGCCTACAAGCCGATTGATTCACCTGACTAATTTAAGGCTATTTTCCTTAGCTCAATGCTGAGCCCTAGGCTAGTCGTAAACATAAATTTTAAAACAATGGTTATTATTATCAGTAATCATAGCAATGAAAGTTATTGCTTTTGAGGAAATTTTTAGAAGATGATTTTAGAATAAATAGATTGATTATGTAAATTATATATGATTTAAGTTATAGTGAAATTGATAATTATAGATAATATTGGTGAAGATTAAGTGAGGTCTAGACTTGCTAGGTTTAGATATATTGAATCTATTGTATAAATGAATAAGGTTTAGTGATTAGTTAAAACATGATTAATAAATTAGAGAGGACCTTAAGAGGAGTATTAGATGGGGAAAATGATAAGGTAAAATTTAGGGGTGTCTAAATGGCTCAACTGGTTGGGTTCGGGTTTGACCCAAAAATTGACCTGACTTGACCCGAATGTGGTCATCTTGAAACCCGACCCATTTAATAAATAGGTAAAAAAATTGAACCGAACCTGACCCGCCAGCAACCCAAACCCGACCCAACAACCCATTTTTATAAAAAAAAAATTAATTAGCTTATTAATCATAAATTTTAGGTCATTTGATAAAAAAACAAAAAGATTATACAAAAAAAATTAAAAGAAATTAATATAAAAAAATTAAACGATTTAATTTCAGGTCAAAATAGGGTTGACGGGTTAACATGAACCTAACCCATTTAATAAACGAGTCGGAATGCAAGACCCGAACCTCACTCGTTTATTAAACAGGTCAACCCAAATTTGGATTCTTCTGGTCGGGTTCAAATAGAGTTGGTTGCCGAATCATTTTTTGACACCCCTAGTAAAATTTATAAGAATGTAATAGTACCAACTATATTATTTGGCTTATTTTTAGGCAATAAGTAACTTTCTTATAATTAGCTTAAATATGAAAAAATTTAAAATATTTTAAATTGATATAAAGTCAAAATAGGAAGCAGATAAAAACAAATTATATTGGACACTAACACCTATTAAAGGCGATGTAGCAGACAATTTGCTGAAGTAGATATGACAAATGCAATTGATCATTAAAGTTGTATCAATTAGATGGATAATTAGAATTTATGTTGAAAGCTTTGAAGGAAATACATGAAATGAAGGTTAAGTTGGCTAGAAGTTGTGAAAAAAAATTGCAAAATAGAGTTGACAACTCATTAATGAAAAAAAGAGAATTCATGTGAAGTCGACCCCAAATAGATGAAATAAGTTAATTATGATGACAATGATGATAAGAAACGAAGTAAAGTGGCAACTTCCAATTTAAATGGTCAGTGGGTATGTATGGTTAGAAGTTTAAAAGTTGGAGCCAATGGTTTATGATGACAATCAATAATATTTAATATTTACAGTTGCATAAATCAAATATATGGCATGAAGATAAAAACCTATAGGTAGTCAGGGGAGATAAAATAGCTATATAATGAGGATTAGACGTAATGGATAGATGGGGGTTAGCAGTGATGATGACAAATGAAGTAAAGTGGCAACTTCCAATTTAAATGGTCAATGAGTATATGTCGCTAAACGGTTACAAGGGGATTTTGAAAATACTTGGTAATTGGAGAGGGAAAATTAAGGAAGAGGATGAGAATTTCAAATTTAGGACTTAGGTTCCGTATTTAGTGCTTATAAATAGTGAATACAACCTAATTTCTTTCATTTGAGCTCAATTTATAAGGTTACAAGGGGATCCTTCAGCTGCAGGATAGGACATATGCTTAGCTAGTGATGCCTCATTCTACAACTGTTGTTGGGTGTAGCCAAGGAATGCATTTGGCCTTTGACAGGTTAGCCTTAGCATGACTGATGGGGACATCAAATCGTGGAGAGTCTATTAGAGACGTGGCCGTCGATCTACGGCCACGATTGAGTCATTGTATTTCTGAGTTGTTTTATGTATTTTCTTATTTATGATGTCATATTGTATTTGTTTTATTAGTTTTCCGTTATACCCTTTTATTAAGGGAGGTCGTATGTAAGCTCTAGGGGCATTGTCGTCATTTTTATTTTTTTGAGTCTTTGTACGAGGCTATTTATAGCCCTAGTGTTCTTCTTTTGAAGTGAAAGAATTATTGATTAAAATAATTCTTCCCTTTGCATGAGTTCTTGTGAGAGCTTGAGAAATCGAAGAGAGCTCCCTAGGAGAGGGAGGATTGCGCATCACCCACCAACCTAGACGAGTCGGGTTCGTGGTTCTATTTCCTATCTCTTCCTTTCCCCCTCCCCACCACCACCTCCGGCCATCATCACACCCAAGACCTTCTCCCTCCCCAAACTCTTCCCCCTTACTCGACCGAGCTCCACATACACCCCACCTAGCTGCCAGTCCCCCATACCCGAGCCCAATCAACTTGCCGGCCCTAGATCCCTTTCCCCATTGATTTCCATTGCCTAATTTGGATTGAAATAATTTGGACAGATTTTGAATTCAAATTCATTCAATTTGGGATTTAAAATCTTTCCTAGATTACCAAATCTATTTTAGGAAAGTTCCTAAATTAAATCTATTTGAATTTCAAATTCAAATTGGATTTAATTAAAACCATTCTTAATTCCTAAACCCAAATTAAGAAGCTTTAATTACCCCCATTATTAAGCCCAATTAACCCCCATAGCCGCCGGCCCCATTAGGAGAGATTTGGGGATTTATTTCCTAAAGCCCCATCTCCTTTCTTGGAAAGATTTTCAAAATTCCCCATCCCTCCTTGGCCGAAATTTCCAAAGCCCATGACTCCTAATTAATTTCCAAAACCTAACAATTGGTTTTGGAAATAAATCCCTCACCCCCACCTCTCACCATGCCGCCGCCCCCTAGCCTAACCGCCCCTCTCTCTCTCTCTCCAATCCCTCTCTCACTCATTAATTCCCCTCCCCAATTTGGGGAATTAGAATCCCCTTCTTTTTCCCTTCCCTCTCAATTCAAAATATGAAATTTATTTCAAAATTTTGAATTTAATCACCTCCTCCAACCTAACCCTAACCCCATGTTTGGCTCCCCCTTTTGGTCGAACCCTTCTCCTCTCCTTCTCTCTTGTTTCATGTGAGGATTCCCTTTCTCTCAAGAGATCTAGGAGCCTAGAAGGACGTCGCCGATACTACTACACACAACAAAAAAATGCATGGCCGATCCAAAACTTGATTACGGCCTCTCCTATGACGAGCAAGGATTTGTTTGCATCCTACACTCGACCTTCTTCGACGTCAACCCGCGCATCGACCACAACGTAGACGAGTACGTAGAGCGCATCTTGGACACCTTGGTCGAGGCTATTGAAGAGCAACTTGGTACCGTTCAGTGGAGGATTACAACTGATCCTTGACGAAGGTCTTCCAATCTTCCTCTTCTTGAGTTTCTTTAGTCTAACCCTCTCCTGTGATTTGATTTTAGTCATGAAGATCGTGTTCGTCTAACTCTTCTGAGCTTAATAAACGTAGGGATTAAGTGCACTTCATTTGTTTCTAATCTTATTGTTAGATTAGGGATTTTCGTTGAAAGCTACTATATTTGCATGTTGTTGATTTACTATGTTATTTTGATGATTCAAAACTCTTATTGTGCAACTTAGCCTAAATGAAAGTGACCGCTCTTATGTTTTATTTTGTCTTTTTATTTGCTAATAGTTCTAATCACTATTACTCTAATCAATAAATCGTGCAAGTTCTTTTCAAATTATTGCATGTATTGTAGTCCTACATCAATGACCTAACATGCATGGCTCAATTATATGGGATTTGATATAACGAAACTATTAATTAACTCAAATCTTGTCATGCTATGTTAGAGGATGCGTAACCAAGGCACCAGATGGAGCTGGCCCATGCAGAGGTTATACTATTATGGTTTTGGGTTCAATCATTGGCTGTATGCTTGAAGCTCTGCTCAATATAGCATTAAAGTTTTCTCACTTGTGATGAACTCATAATTGTAATAATCAGTCATGGAATTCCGATAGTTGTGATAATATTGGAGATACTATGACTTAGGTTGGGCCCACATCTTTTCCCCTATTCATGAACCACCTCTAAGGAGCTTAAGAGTAAAAGATCCATTCGCCTTCATAAGCAAAAACTTACTTTCTTGCAATGGTGAACTCTTACAATTTGATTCTCTAGCAGACTTCATCAACACCGGAAAGAATGGTATTCCGAGTTTTTTGCTGGCCTCCATGCCTTTTTTTAGGTCACAACTGATGTAGGCCAAGCCTCGCATTGAGCCATCAACATCATTGCTCTATGTAACTCCAAACTCTAATTGATTAGTAAGTAGATCTTATGTCATGAAAGCAAGCTTATCAGTTTTCTAGACAAAAGTTGTAGCTTCTTTTGTTCAAATACCCAACCCTATTCCCATTTTGTATATGAGACTATTTATGATGAATGAAACACAATTGTCTTCTCTAGATTACTCTCTCTCTCTCTCTCGCCCTCCCTCCCTCTGTGGCTAGTCTCTCTTGCCCTCCCTCCCTCCCTCCCTCTCTGGCTAGTCGGAAAATTTTCTCCCGCCTCTCTTCTTCAAGTCATTTACTGTTCATCCTTTTTCTCTCACATCGGACTCTTCTATTATCTCCCAAATCTAATCCTTTTATTTTCTACTAGCTTTATCTCATCTAAGCTCTCCATAAACCAATCTTCCCAACATCCAATGAGACCAGCCATTTAGCTTCTCAACCACACTCAAAGCATCCTCACCCACTCATTCCTTCAAGGAGAGCTTGGCTAGATCAAGATGATGATCGCTTCATCCTCACACCATTGAAGGCAACATCAATTAGTATTAGAAGGTCTAATCTACTTTACTCCCTTACCTGCTTACTTGATACATGAACATTGGATTTTCATTCAATAATTTGCTACCTTCTTTCCTCTTGTTTTCTGATTGTTTACTTGATCATACCTGTTGAATCTAGTTCATTTGAATCTTCTGGTTTGCTTGTTAATCACTGCTATAAAATGCTACTGCTTGATAAGCTCTGTTTTTTATATAGCTTGTTAATACTGGTACTGAGCTCTGTTTTTCTTGTTAATTGCTGTTTTTTTTTTTTTTGCTTGTTGATCCCTGTCAAGTTTCTAGTGCTATTTGCCGTTTCAGTCCCATACACAGTTGTTATACGGTGTGCAATCTGCTGCTGTTAGAGTTTCTGTTTTGCAATGTGCATTACTTTTTTGCTATACTTGCTGCATAAACTATTGCTATCTGCTGAAAGCACGTATTACCTATTAAACTGTTTGCTATAGCTGCTGCATATAGCTACTTGTTAATTATTTCTTTGCTATAGCTGTTCTCTTCCGATACCTCACTTCTCTATACAATTATCTTTGATATCAAGTGCTCTACTTATGGAGATTCCTAGGGTTTTGCCCCTCCTGCATCCTGAGATCTCAACAAACTTTGACGTGAAGGTGGCCCTAATTCTACTAGTGCAAAAGTTAGGCGAGCTCTTCTCCACTTTTCCAAGCTCATTTTTGGATGCTAAAAAGAAGATTACCACCAGAGGCAATGCCAACAAGGGAAGAGGCTGCTGTGGAAGATGTTGTTAAGGAAGAAATTCATCTTGAAGATCAAGAGGGGATGCTGAGGAGGCTGAGGCTAGAAGGTTGAAGAGGTTGTCGATAGGGTGGAAGATTTTAAAGGGTACTCGAAGTTAGGTGTCTTGGTATATGTTAATTATATATGATATAGTTCTAGAAGGCAAAATCTTTGCTAATGGATAAATGAAAATTAGAACAATAGAGAACAAAGATTGAGTATGAGAAGTACAGTTTAATGGAATGAAAATAATAATAATTAATTATGATTATAGAATATCATGATCGCTCATAATCGGGTATTAATGAACGGATCGGATGAAAGAAAAATTATATATTGGACTTGATTGGTTGTCTGGAATAAAAACGATGACTTATTTTGTGGATTTCAAAAACTTGTTTCAATTTGCAATGTGTCAAAATTCAGATAATATATTTTTTCACATGTTGCCATTCTCTTTATGCTCTAGTCGAGATATGTTTTTCACCAGTTGAAGTTTTTGTGATTTGTGTTTTCTTATTCTATTTGCATTGAAGGTGGGAAAATCCTTTGATGGGCTGGACCTCTACGGGAGATCCATATGCTAATGTTGGCGATGCAGCACTTTCATTTGATAGCGAAGATGCTGCAAAGGCATTTGCTGAGCGGCATGGGTGGGACTATCAGGTATGCATCGAATACTTTTACAGTCCTTAAAATAATATGCTTACCATATAAAATAAATCAATTGATATGCCACCTAATAAAACATCCCAGTTGCACATTTTTATCATTTAGTGGATCTTGGCGCTGAGCCAACACAGTAGGGCATTCAGTTTAAATAAACCATTTCCGATTTTTTTTTTTAGCATCTTCCACCACCTGATGTAGTTCAGCTTACATCAATTCTATATATATATATGTATATATATAGAAATAAAAAGGTTGTTTATTCTCTTCAAGGTTTGTCTATGTTGTCATCTTTTAAGAACTGTTTATATACTGAAAAAGTTGTTGTAATAGTGGATTTCTATTTAAAGCTTCATTTGGGATGGCTTCTTTAAGAAGTAGGAAGAAAGTCGTCCCAAACGGAGCCTACCATTTGGGACGGTTTTCTTACTGCTTCTTAAAGCACCTTTCTAGTTCAAAAATTAAAAAAGTTGCTTTAAGAAGCAGTAAGAAAGTCGTCCCAAACAAAGCCTAAAACTCTTGATGTTCCTTTGGGAGCACGCTTTTCGTAGGCATTTATTCCATATGTTGTGAACTTCATTTCCCATCATGCTAGTGATATGCATTGTAGTTCCTTCTGGAATTTTTGTATTTGATGTAAAAAACAAGATGCCTTCTTTTTTATATGGTTAACTTTGTTCAGAACCTTATCATAGACCAGACTACATGAATTTTATCATAGTTTTAGGGGTTTTTTTTTTCTCTTTTCCTGGCAATGGACCATTTTAACTATAGTTGTGCTCACAGACCTTATTCTGCAGGTTAAGAAGCGTCATACTCCTCTTTTGAAGGTATCTACTAAATTCATCTGTAGTGGTTATCAATAATTTTCTAGTTGTACTTTATTTTTGGCTCTTGTCGTGAACTGTGGATTTGTGATAACAAAATTTATAAAAATAACGATCCATGATATTAGGATTAATTATTCTGTGCGGACGTCAAACATTATCCGGAGACTAATCAGAATGCATCACGTCACCCCTGTGCTCGGTACCGCGGTTCGGTATGCTCGGTACTTGGGCTCGATATTGCTGACGTGGTGCATTCTGGTTGATCTCCGGACGGCGTTTTGCATTCGGTCTCCACAGAATAATTTCTCTAATATTATGCCCTAACAAAAGGTTTTCTACTTTCCCACTTCCCCCTCATATACCATATATTACCTTCAATAATTTTAACCATTATATTTTTCATTTTTTCTACTAATATTTTGAATAAAAATAATATTCAATTCCTGAAAGAAGTGGACTGCAGCGGATGACTTGAAAAGTGTAAATTATGTGTTATTTTAAGCGGATGAAAAAAAAACCTTTTTAATTTATAAATTATCCAGAAATTGAAAATTATTTGACTTGAGGAGTTTTTTATTTTTTTTTTTATTTTTTTTTATTTTTTTTAACTGAGGAGTTATTTCACAGTCATTCACTTCCATTTTTCCTTCTAATCCTGCAGGTGAAGTCTTATGCTGATAATTTCAAGTGGAAGGGCTTTCCACAATCCGAGGAAGCTTAAGTTTTTTTTTACGTTGTGCCTGTGCAATAGCTGCCTAATGCTTCTTTTTCTCATAAATTTACGCATGTTTGATTTCTGATTTGCAAGCACTTGAAAATGAGAGATTTTTTTTTCATTATTATTTTACAAATCATTGTTATATTTATGTTTGAATTTGGTTTTTTTGTGCTATTTTTCAAAATTGTTTGCAGAAAAAAAAATTTACAAAATAAAAAATGTTAATGTCTGATTTTTGTAGAAAAGTTTTAAATTCTCGCAGTAATTTTAAGAAAATGATAATTTTCTAATTAATTTTGGCCCAAAATATAGAATGAATCATAATATAATCCTAATTAAGTAAAAGAAGCATGTTTAGCAAAAAAATTAAAACAAGGAGCAAATACATGAATTTTTTTTTCACTTTTTTAGAAAAACACTAAATGTTTTTGCTTTTTTTTTTTTAAAAATATCAAACCTTAAATATATTTTTAAAATTTGATGCAATTTAGATGAGGTAGAGCTCCCTTTTACACTTAGTTTCTTTTTTTATCTGTGATTCCCATGTATGAGCGATTACTTTGAGGCAAAGTTCTAGTGCAAGGTTTATGTATCCATTTTTTACTAACTGACAATAGTTTTTAGGTTTAGTGATGTTATATATTTAGCAAAGTATTTGCCTCCAAATATGTATATGTTTACATTCTGGATGCTAATCGTAGAAACATATTAGATTCATATAAACGTTCAGAGAGTCGACTCAATAATTATTATTTTTGGTGCGCTTAATCGTTGAAAACGTTTTTTTTTTATTTTTTTATTTTATTTTTGCTCCCGTCCATTTAAATATAGAATAAGGATAAGAATAAAAATAAGATCAAGAATAAGAATAATAATAATAAAGAATAAGAATAAGAATAAGAACAAGAAAGGAGGGAATAACGGAAATAGAAATAAGAATAAGAATAATAAGAATAATAATAGTAATATAAAAAATAAAATAATAATAATAATAATAAATATTATAGTATCATATTTTCACCAAGTTTATGGAGGTGTTGGAGAGTCTTTTTGAGATTTTCATCGGCCTTTCTTTTTAGGACTTACACCAATTCTGTTGTTTGTCATCGCCACCAATGTTAATAAAATGCTTGTTCTCGCCGCTAAAATTAATGTTTGCCATCACAACTAATAATAATACTGATCACCATCAACACAAATAATGATACATATTGCTATTACTAACAACAACCCTCAATGTTATCACTAGCACTAGCGACTAATGTTGTTAACAAGCACGTCCACTGCCATTAGTACTAACACTGAATCATGTCATTATCAATAATATCGATACTTTCACCATAAAATTTATACCCCTCTTTTCATTCCCACCATTATATTTTATTTGCTCCTTCTCTAACTATAGTGAAGTGCACTGTTTATAAGATATGACTCTTATTAGTGAAATCATTTCAATTAAAATTAATTCATTATTATTTTTTCTTTTTAGATTTTTTTTTATATGTAAGATATTTTATGTATGTGTAATTTCATTCCTATTTTCAAACAAGTCCAAAGTCTCATATTTATATGTGCGGTCACCGGACGCCGTCCGGAGTCGAATCAAGATGCACCATGTCACTATTTTGTTGTGTACCGGGTGACATTCTCCTCCGAATGGTCTGATGACTGTGCGTAATAATTTCTCCATAGTGAAAATCGTGATCCATAAATATTTCCCCTCTACTCCAACCCATCAAACAAAAACGGTCGATTTTGCTTTGAGAGGAAAAATGGATATTTGTCATAACTATGGTGACCTCAACATCTCCCATCTATTCCTATGCCTCCAATTAGAACAATCATTTCTACTTTTAGATGGGGATTGGAATGCCACATTAGCAACAAAGATCAAATGGTGCCCCCAATTATGCCTCATGCGCAATAAAATTTATACATTACAATATATATATA